TCGTCTCTCTCTCTCTCTCTCTCTCTCTCTCTCTCTCTCTCTCTCTCTCTCTCTCTCTCTCTCTCTGTGTGTGTGTTGTTCTCTCTCTCTCTCTGTGTGTGTGTGTGTCTCTCTCTCTCTCTCTCTCTCTCTCTCTCTCTCGCGCGGTCTCGCTCCTCGTCGAACGCGTTTTAGTAGCCGCTTTTTTATTAGCTTGCGGCCCGAAGGAGTGCCCGCGATGATATCATGCCGTGCGCGCAAAAATAAAATCGCGAAAGACTCGCGATCGTCGTGACCAATTGTGCCTCGCCAATTGCGCCGCTATACTAAGCTGATGGCGACGATAGCGGTTTATCACGTTTCGTGACGTACATTGGCCGTGAGAAGGTCTCGCGCTTGAATATGTGGGTGGGTAAGCAGGTAATGAAACTCCAAAAGAGCTGCAGGATCATTTTTGAAATCGATAAGAGCGTTGAGTAGAGCGATAAAATTACAGATAAGAGAGTTACTTGTTGATCGTGATACTTGATCATTTAGATTAATCCAGATCGATACGTGGAAGGAATATTACATTCTTGAATCTCCTTTCTTGTTTTGCATTATCTCCAGCAGAGAAATTAATTGTTCCCTTCAATTTCTTTAATTGGGAAGGGAATGTATGTGCGATGTCTGAAATCAATATATCTTCCTCACAGGTGGACCTTATGAAGCATTCGGTGGTCGGGATGCTAGCAGAGCGCTGGCAAGGTTTGCGGTGGATGCAGCGACAGACAAATACGATGACTTGAGTGACTTGAACACAACAGAAATGAATTCCATCAAAGAGTGGGAGGAACAATTCAAAGGTAAGGAGCGAATTGTACATTTCGAACAACGACAAAATTCAACGATCTGAAAGAGAAATTAAAGAAAGTGAGCTGCCTTTCAAATGATATACTAATATTAAATTTATATGTATAGAAAAATAGTTGCAAAAATTAATATTATCTTGAAATTAATGCTCATTGATAGAACTCTCAAAGTTACATTTCTATGTAAGATGTTTTAATGAATGCAAGTAGCACAATGTTTGAATTGACAAGACATAATAAGCAAGATAGACTCTTGGGTACATAACACTTTTACATAAATACAATATTTTCTTTTTGACGTGATATACGAGATCTTCTAAGTCATCATAGAGAAGCTTTGAGCCTCATGAATTATGAATGGCAGCATGGTTCAAGGCTTTTCTTTTACCATACATCATTCGTTTATGAATGTAATAGAGGAATTTAAGATAAACACTGAGGCACAACTGAATTGTCCAAAAAAGCAACATGTGTACATGCAATAATACAAACATGACCTTGTTTTTTTATTACAGAGAGATACGATTATGTTGGAAAATTATTGAAGCCTGGTGAAGCGCCTACAAATTATTCCGATGAAGAGGACGAGGGTAGTCAACAGGAGACTGAAACAAAATCGGAGAGTTACGATACAGAAAAAAAACAGATAATAGTGATACCACCGGAAAATCCAAGAGCGATTGACCACATGATCGTACATTGAAGGCAAAACTGTTTCAGGAGCATACTACGCACACGCTGTTGTTACAGAAATCTTTGAAATTGTCGCTCATGAATATATTTCTGGACGTTTGATCGAATATTTTATTACTTCATAACTATAATCGAATAAAGAGGCGAAATGCCGGCTTTTAATCGTGTTGGATGTACACAAAAAGAGATTTCCGAAAAAGCTGGCGAGTCGTATATGAGAACTTTATTTCAGCGTCCAACTGCCAATCAGCGTGGACGCACTGTCGTATCTTTTAATATTTTTTACATATGTACAAAAGATTTTCTACAGCCAAGCCGAAACAATGGCAAGTAACAATGTAGCATATTCCATTATAAACATTTCTCGTTGAATTACCGATTGTACTCTGTTGTACAACAACATGGTGATGCGTTTATATCCGTGCTCGCACGGAGTACGGCAATCCAATAGAAAGCTTCTGACATGCATTTGGAGTTTAGCTTTAAGTCTGCTCTACGGAATTAAGTCTACTCGCAGTTCCGCGATCAAAACAAAAAAAAAAGAACTACACTACCGAATTACGGAAGAAGAGGATCACACAAAGACGTATTCACTTCGGAAACGCTTGCGAATAATCCGATTAACGCTTGTTAACTCGGATGAAGCGCTGAATAGCGCATAGTTACATATATTTATGTTATATTTTTAATATGCGATCGTATCAGGCACGTGATATTATTACCAAATAATGAAAATCAAGTACACTGCGTTTCATTAATCGAATCTTTTTTGAGTGCAAAAGTTCGTATCATTTCTATGTTCCCGTTTGTATATCCGGATTTGTATTCCGGATGAGCGAGAGAGATACATACTTGACTATGTACATCTTTTTGCATTCAAAAAGGAAATTAATAAAACACAGATACACTGAGTTTGAAAGTCTTTTTCTCGCTTGCATCGCAACCAACGCGAAAAGTCTCAATGATTATGCATTTTCTGCTAAAGTTTTAATCGCTGAAACAGTACCAGAAGTAAATCGTGCATAACGCGTGCGTCTCCCAACGGTTTATTTTATGCGCGTGAAGATAACAAATATATGAAACTTCCGCGGTGAATTCTGGCATTGTAAAATTTCGTTACAATAAGATATTGTACGTTCACAAGTATTCGCATACTTCGGTGCAGCATTGTCTCAACACAGTGCATCAATTTATTAATGCTGTTCAATGGCTTTATTCACCAATAAAATATGGTTTTGGTAAATAGCTATACCTGAGAATAAGTTTATAAATAAAGATTAATATCAAAGTTGTGTTATATGTATATACATATACATATATACATTTCTATATACACATAACATTGCATGTGCATTTCCTGTATAATTTAAAATTCCGTCGGTGTAAAATTTGTATTTTATATCTTGTTGGCATTTAAAGAGGCAAGAAAGTTATTTATTGTATTTCACGCGTCATGTTAGTTACATGAAAAATGGTGTATATAAACTTATCATGGTTAGATAGAATTGATTGTGGTAAATAAAGTTTTATTATTGTTTATATTAATCCAATCGGCGAGAGTATGCCTTCAGTTTGATTGTTGTGATATAAATAATATATACATGCTTTTATTCTCTTAATAATTCGTCCATAAAAAAAAAGAATTGTTCTTTCTATTCTCGAAAAGCGTTCCTTATATTACAAATTTGTCATTTGACGGGTGAATCCGAAAACAAGTGAATTGAAAATAGAATTCAAGAATTAAATTTAGAAATTTTAAAACAGACAAAATTCATGATTATGTATATTTTGTGTTAGAAGATTTTGACTAAACAATAATTTTATACTTTGTTTTTGCTATTCGTGTGCAAGAGACGCAAGGATTTATACAATGAAAGGAATTGAATGGGGAATTGAATAGGGAAATAGGAATTAAAAAATGTTTTTGACATGCTCTACACACAATCAAGAAATACCAAGGTGTTCTCTCTTCGAAAGTAATTTTTTGTTCCTAATTTTTTTATTTATGTCTATTTCCATTTCTTGTATTTAAGCCCCAATTCAGCGTAAGAAATAAACATGAGGTGCTTTCCGGTAAAGAACAATCGGCTATTGACGAGGCGAGACTAAAGTTTCAGAAAAAGCAAGCTTCCATAGTCAATTGTGCGACGTCATGCCGAGTGTATTTCTTGCCAGAAGATATGCCTGAAAATCGACGAAAGAGGTTCGATTTTTGCCTCTCGACACACTCCAGTACGTCATAGTCCTCCTAGATGGTGACACAACGATGTAATTTGTTGCTTGCTACTCGCTATTTTATCGACGTAATAACGAGATCCTCGAGAGAGATCCCACGTTGACGTAGGACAGAAAGAAAGACTCTCGCAGCTTGCGAGGAAAACATTCGACTTCGTTCCCCTACAATTAATTACATCGCTCTATTTGCATTTTAATTACGCAAAGCTCGTCGAATCCTACGCCATTTCATTCTGATCCTGATCGATCACAGCTGAGCATTAGACGAGTCGAATTATAAAATACGACTGTCCGATGGCGGTTTCGGGAGTTTCGACAG